AGCACTTTTAATGGCACCGGTCACGATGCACCGGGCTATGCAGATGGGAAGCCCCCACTTCTGCTGCCTTGCGAAAATGTATAATAAATGAGTTCTCTTGATCGGCCAGTTTCTGTCTACCATCTTCCAGACTAAGACGTCTCCAGGCGAATCTGGTATTTTTTTTTTATTAAAATCCGCAATTTCGCGTTCCGTTTCCCTAAATACGTGTTCCACCTGCTATATGCAAATGAACTTGTTTCCTTCTTGGTCCCTACTCACTTCGTGACATCGGATGTCCTTGAACAGAACTTTCAACTTTGGATTCTAGACTCACCCAAGTTCATGCACTCGATGTATCAAAGGTGAAGAGAGCATGAAAGGAAAAGTTTCAGAGCCTGATGAACGAAGTTTCGCAAAGGTAGGGAACAAATCCACCTAGTTCCATCCACTTCCGTGTACACTTCAACTATCACAGTATGGTTATCTTCTCTACTATCGCTATCCTACACTCACATTTCCAGACTCTAGAACGTTTCTGAACAGAGTTGTAAAATAGCGTACACCTTCTAGTTGAAAACCGTCTATCGTTGGTGTAGTTCCTTCAGATTAGGCGTGTTTACCACTATTTCGTGGCTGCCGTTCAAAACTAAGTTTCTTCCTGTTTTCTGGGTTGCCCTACAACCGAGTAAAGAAATTTGTAACGAGCAACGTCGGATGCAGAACGTCCCATTGTGAGTTTCTTTCATCTCAACCACTAGCCTATTAGAACCCTTTGCTTGTTCCCGATTTCTGGGCCGCTCCGGAAGCGATTTTGGAAGTATCTCCTCCTTAACCATCAATCCCAGTGCACATCGATCCCGTAAGTTGAGCTCCAATTAACCCATGAGCGGAGCCCGGATGCTTAACTCACTAGTTTCATTCTGCCTCAAGCAAGCTGGCTCAAGCTCTAGTCATCTCAACTTGGCTCAGTTGTTGAAGTTCAATTTCAGGGCAGCTCTACTTAGGGTGGCGACAGGCAACAAACAGGCACACAACAGACACATTAAGCCTGTGGTTTACATATAATGAGGAAGTCAATGAATAATTATTCCAAAACCTTAATCGTCCAATTAAAATTTTCGCAATGAAAATCATAAAACTTATCAGTATGAAGATGTCAACAAGAGAAATTGGTACAGTTAATGTATTCTGAGAAAGTCTGAAGAAGAGTTACCTTATGAAGAGGTTCTGACCCGAGACACAGTCCTCCTTGCTTTTCGTATTCTTTGAAAATTGGCCTGGTGTAGTGATCTGTAGGCTGGTTACGGAAGCCTTTCAAACGATACGTAAACGTTCCTGCAAAAATCGGAGAATCCTCAGCTGAACTGCGATGCGTGGACAGCTTAACAATTAGCCTCGAATCGGTCATCTCGGACCAGTAAGGGAAGACAATTGCCAGGGAATAATTGCGCTGCGAGACCTGCACAAGCATGAGAAAAAGGGCGGCCGAACTGTATTTACTTCCTTTCCGTTGAAAGCAGTCTTTCTGGAAAGTTTTGTAAGCTAGCTGACGAGAAAAAGTTTGAAAGAAAGAACAACAGATGAGCATGCGGCATGCGCTCCAAATTAATGAGAGCATCTTCATAAAGGACTTTCTGGGATGATGCTGCTAAGAGTTGAAGATTATCCTCAAGGAAACGATTGGGACATTTGTCCATTCATTCAGTCATTCGTGAACAGGGATGTTCACAAATGGAGGACTGGTACTGTGACTAGAGGGTATCGTCCACGCTGGAGAAAAAAAAAACTTGCGTTTCGAAAAATACCGCAGTTGCTGTTTCTAAAAAATAGCTGAAGAATCCCGTACGAAACTCCCAAAATACTCTGCGTTTCGCTTCCAACGAGTACCCGAAGCGTATGCTAATCGCAGAATATGATGAAATCAAATGACTTTTTGCTATTTTTATCATGCATTCTGGATATAGGCACCAAATATTAGCGATATATAATGGAATGGCATGAGAAAAAAAAACCTGCCTATAGCGAAAGCATCTTCTCCATATAAGGTTACATATCCGGCAGATGAGAAATTATTCCATATGAATGGGTATACATCGTCGACATAATTTGCATTACCAAAACGTTTCCTGAAAAGAAATATACTTAAAACACTTTGCCAAACCATCGAGGAATGCTTTCGTCAATTTACACAGGACTGCAAGGTTCACCNTGCTACTCAACTTTTTGCTAAAGCTCAATTAACAAGCTCCCGAGTAAAAAATCGATAAATTACAGTCGATAATAGTCTATTGAGCTCTAAGTTCTGGTTTAGTTGGAGGAGCTATGTATTCCCTTATGTTTCATGGAAAAAAGTTCAAACTAAACTCCCTCTACTCTTAATCGGTGTTATAATAAAAAGTATTTCACACATGAATTAATGAGACTCGCATGATCGTAAAAAGGTAAAAGAAAGAACCACTGAGTTTCCCCACCTTGTCAACGGTAGTTCTTCTTCTGTAGCAGCGGTCAGAATAGGTATAAAGGCTTGAGGTGTTCCATCTCCAACAATGTTGTAACCTCAATTTTTGAAATTAAAAAGTGACAATGGACAATCAAAAACTACCTAGCTAATCTACACGCTACGTAAGAGGCTTGCTAATCAACACTCACCATTCAACACTACAGCTCCAAGAGATTTCTCCAACACCTCAACAGTTTTGGGCATTTTTCTTCTGAATGACATGTGACTGAGGGAATCAAACCCTAAGAAGAAAACGTTTAGGCCCGAACTGTCCGGTGCAGGTGAAGCGTTATTGCTGAGAAGTTGGCTTTCATCTTTCCTCACTACGCTCATCAATATACCGCGCCTAAAATTGTATTCTTCGGCATTCGGAACGCGAAAATTTTTTTAAAAAATTCAACGCGCTTATTTGCGCAATTGCACAATCTATGCAAAAAAAGTTGACTTTGTCTCACCAGCTTTCCATTCCTAGTCTGCAATGTACCACTGCAAAATCTGAAGCGAGAGGTTTACCACTGGGAAGAGAATCAAAAGCTTCGTGACTGTTCTCGTTGTCGTTTTTTCGAGTAACATAGATTCCTTGACATTTCGCATCCTCCCTATAATTATCAATATTTTTCAGGTAAAAAAAGACGAAAGGATATGATACCTTCGCTCAATGTACTGTACATGGCCATTATCATCAATGTAAACCCAGTTAGTTGGGTTATTATCGCACTGCAGGGGTTTCGCTTTGAAAAAGAAACTCTTCACCTCTGCTCCATTAATATCAAGTTTCGGGACTTGGCACTCCTAAAAATGTTTCCGTGGCCGAGTCACAATGTTAACTAAACAGTGAAAAACTGACATGATCGCGAATACTGGACGCCGCATTTCCGGCAGATTTTTCTCTTCCCTGATTCTTCCTATCGCTGTCCTGACCAGTGACAACGATTTTGAAATCGAACTGAAAGAATCAGCTTTACACATCAAACAGTTATGAAGAGATTGCGCAGTTTAAAAGTTTTGCTGATGAACAACCTCCGTTTGATCATAGAGGTCTAGTGTTTCCGGGAACTCTATGAGGGAGGCGGGCTCCAGGGTAAATTCAAGCTCCACGGTTCAGGCATTTGTCAAGGCCGCTCCCACCTAATGTGAGCGAGGTCACTTCAAGAGGATATGTAAGCAGAGGGCAGCGTAGGTGGAGGATTTATGTTTTTCGGATCAGGCGACATGTCATCGGCCACTGGCAATCAATTTCATCCATACGGTAACAGTAGGTCGCTTTCACGCTTCGAGCTGGCAATAGGCAAAAGGCGGAAGCGGAGTGTGTTGTCGTGGATTGTGGGTTGCTCAATTAGAGATACGATACTAGTGCAAAACATGTTTGGAATTTATGCCTATGGGTTGCTCAGACATGCTGATTCTGCCTCCAACTTTTTACGTCGGGTAGTGAAGCAGAACAGGCATGTTGAGCGTCTGAAAAGGGTCAAATCCCAGCATGGGTCGCACGATTTATCGCCAGCGTGATATCTAGATCATCTGGATCATCGCCAATGCTGACTCACTTCGCCAGCTAGAAGTGTGAAGACGGCCAGAGCGAATATTTTCTAGCACTGCTGGCCTAATCGCCCTCAAATGATGTGTAAGGTACTAAGCAGCTACCAGAGCATAATCTCTAGCCCCCCAAAGTTTCCGTTGGATGTAGTGCAATTGAATCGGTCGAAGTTGACCTTTTCGGTGGGAACACTGATTGGCAAATGAGATGAAGTTTCCACTGCCTTTAGGTAACAACTGTAAGTAAAAACAAAAGAAACTTGAACTGGAATCAAACTCCCTTCGAGTAAGTGGTGAGTGCCCCAAGTGAAAAGTTTCCTGAGCCAAGACGTCAAGGAAGTGCTATCTTCGTTTTATTTCTAGTATCATACTCAATATGTTGTATTTATTAGAAAAGAGAGGCATTCTATAAACGACGAAAAAACTATTAGCTTGATGCATAAATTAATTAATATGCTTTACTGTTACATACCGTTAAGGGCTTTTTCATCTCACCGAGGTTTTGTTTCTTCTCCATTCTAGAAGGAATCCGCACATCAAGTGAAAGCCTTTTTTGTGAGTCATTAAAACTTATTCTCCATGTCAAAAGACCACAAGCACGCCACTACAACGCCTGACAAATAGACGTTCTTCTTTCCGACGCCCGTATACCAGCCTACCTCTGGAAGAACAAACAGGGTCCAAGTGAATGAAGGAAATACTCACCTCTTCCTCATGGAAGGACGGAGAGTGTATTGCCTCTTCACCTGCGTCATTCACTGAATAGGCATTAAAAATAAAAAGGAGAGAAACTACGACTGTAGCAATAACGACTAGTTGTCGAACTCGAAAGCGAGTAACCATGTCTCCTGTACAAGTTTGAAGGACTTCTTGCAAAGTGGGTCACTGTAACATTGACGAATTACTGTAATAGGCTGCAACAATTCGACCACGATAATGATAATGGTTACGTCGTAATATTACGAAGAACATACTCCTTGGAACAGGAAAACTGCAAAAAAGTGAACTCATAAAGATCAATTTACGAGGCCGTCTGGCTGCTTTCATAGACTACGATGAACAATGAGCAATGAACGAGGGGCTGGTTGAGCCATGCGTGCTGCATACATGATTCCATTGCATCGCATCGCTTTTTTAGGTGCTTCAGCTTCTGCCGGTTTTGAGCCATTGGTTAGTGTATGTTATCGATCGAAGATGACGTTTAGCGGAACTTCACAAGTATTACCTTAGGATGACGTAGACAAGGGTATAGACTCCACTCACAAACCCAAACCACCCTGTCCAGCGGATAAATGTTGGTGACTGTGGGATTTTGAACACGAACAGGGTGTTACGGTCGTTGTGCTCGCTGGGCCTCGGAACGTGCAGTACAACGTTAAGATTTGAATTCCAGTGGACTATTATTATAATTGCTGCGAAACCACTGCCGTGTGCCTGCCTACGGACGTGGGATTTGGTTGGAAAAAGAGTCTGGGCTGTTGAACCCGCCTAACTCGACCTCTTCAAAGGGAACGCCTACAAAATAACATGAAAAGGTGAGAGGGATCTATTCAATACTACTGAACAGTAACTGTCAGTAAGACTTCTAGTCACTCTTTTGTCATTCAGATGGTTCCCGTCAGCCCAGCCCCACTTGATTACCTTTTCTCCAGTGAAAGCCTTCCCTCTGAGAAGTGTTCCTGTTTCCTTTGTATCGCGTGTGAGTGATACGATACTACCGATCACACAGTGATCGGTAGCTATTCAGCAACTTTTTCATAATATTGGGTAAAGATGAAGTACAAATATTCTGACCCTGGTCAGTCCAATGGCCCGGCTCCTCTAGAGATCCGCCACCTCTAGTTGGTATACTGTATGCGTTAACCGTGCTAGGACCCTTCATCACTTTTTTTATTGAAAGTTCAAGGTCCTCACGCACTGAACCCATAGAATGTCGATGTGCTGATGACAACCGTGCCTACCAAACTCTACCTCTCTCCAACCAATAATGTACTAGCGGCTTTGAAGATCGTCCATAGCCTATCAAGCAGTCATTGAAGTGGCAATATTAAGTCTAGAACCGCAAGGTTAACAATAACATAGAAAATCAAGCCAGTATTGCAAAAAGAGGAGTAAAACAAATGAATACAATGCCTGGAAGGACCATTCAAAACAGCATGCATTATTAATTTGCTGAATATCGATGGACGACTGGCGCCGCCACAGAGCATCGAGCGCCACCAGTTGACGCCGAAGTATAAAAGCTCTCAGACGTGGTGATAGTAGCAATCAGCCAGCACATCAGTGACTATTAGGATGGGCATTGAAAAAGTATTTCATTCCATATAACTTCAAATTAGGGCTGAATTGATTTCTATGTGACCATATCGCTCTTTAGATAAGTTAGAATACGGAAAAGAGGCTAAGGTCCATGCATAGTTTGCATTTTCGAAAAACAACATAATGGTAGTTTTATCAGAGATTGACAGACTAGTCCTTTATTCCTCCTCGTCAGACCGGCGCTACAGAGTTCACGTGAGCAAGTTCATAGCTCCAGTGAGTGTATATGGGATAGATGCAGAGGCAGCCATCATGCAATCAAACTGCATCCAAAATTTAGGCAGCATGCAGGGTGAAACCTTCTTCTGTACACTAGAAGCTTTTTGAAGAAGTATGGTTGACGAAACGATAAACAGTTTCAATCCTCCCCTCGTAATATTGAGTACGGGAAAACTTATACTTACTTATGAATGACTTCTTTGCCCACTTGCTGCGAATGAAACCATTACAGGTAAAGATTTCTTGACAGTGAAAATGGCAGGAAACTTTCAACAGGAAGGCGAGATCGTGAAAGTACTTCGAGAAATGTTAAAAGCAGAAGAGTATGGGAAATTTTCCCATAGAACGGTAATCACCACGAAGAGATCACCACGAATAGTAGTGTACATAGACATGGGTTTGTTGATGTTGATAGACACCAATGGTGATGGTAGAAGCAGAAACTCTATTTGCTCTTCTTTCCAGTATGAAGGAATACCAACACTCAATTGCAGCAGTCCCAGTTATGGTTTTCGTTGAAGCAATCACTCGGCCACGAGCTTTTATGACGCATATAACACGAATGTTCGTTTACATAAACATCACTGGTCTCAGGCCCCCAATGACTAAGATTTTAACATGAAAAAAAAACGAAAAATGTTTAATGTCAGATAGACACCCTGTCCAAGCAGTTGCCGATTTGTAAGTAGCAAAAAATGGTCCTTAACACTCCCTAAGCCATTTAAATTCGATAAATAGAACAAAAATAATCGCAAGCCTCACAAGATTTGTAGGGGGAAAATATGTAAAACAAGAAATACGAGTCCGAAGCCGAAACTTCACCCTTATTCCACCAATCTTGGGAGGCTTTTGCACCACGTACAGAACCGGAATGACGTCAATTAACAAAAACACCAAGTAAAAGTAATCGTAAGCTTGTGTACGAAAGGAAGACTGATTTCGCAGTCCACAGATCTTGTTATACAGTTATCCGGTTTGCCGCTGGGGCGCGGAGCCGCATTCGAGCATACGTGCCGCAGTATGGGTTGCCGTTTGAATTAGTTTCCCGCGCGCGCATATTTGGATGTTTCATGGACTGCCATTGGAGCACATCACGC